CCAGGGACATTTTCCGAGCTCAGTTACAGCGAGATGCACAAAACAGACGCAGAAACACAAAGAGCATTAAGAAGTTGTGTTGAGACTGTGTTGAAAACGGTTTTATCGACTGATGCAGCAGTAATGATCAACTGCAGGCCAACACTTTCACTTCTAGTTCTAACAGGTTGGAAAATGACTGAAAGAGACATTTTACAGATAATTTAAAAGTTTGTTTACTATTTTTCTGAACAGATGCCACTGCACATGACATTATAACTGACATATAACATCAACAAGCACTACTTTCTGGTCAATCAGCCACCTGTTTGCAATTATCACATCAACTGCTCTCCATTTCACCATGTCCACGTTGCTTAAATGACAATCAGGGTGAAATCCCTGCCAAAGTATAATAATCTACTGTGCTGTTTCTTCAGAAAGTGTGCTGAACTCACACATGTAGCTTGAAATCTTTCCTCATTCGCAGATGCCCAGAGGGTCAGTGTTGTAAAGAGTTTTGTACCAGATATTTTCTTATCTATATGGTTCATTTGCATGCTAACTGCATTCAAGACTCAATCTAAATGCAAGTTGATATTTTGATGTGTTAATCCCAGTCAAAACCATACGGCATTGCAGTGCATGAAGAGTTTTGCTAAAAAAAAATATGGCACTTTACTTTCCACAAATAGGACTTGAAACTCAACTTTAAACACAGCCCGGCATCTTGAGAAAAAATTAATTAAAACATCTGCTGTTTTGCAAAAAAAAAAAAAAAAAGTAATAATACCTCATCTGATGATGATGAGTTCAAAAGCATCAATAAAACCTTTCCATCATATACAATTTGTTCACTAAGAAAAGTGTCAAATGTCAAAAGTTTTGGTTTTAATGACAAAAAAGTATTCAAAATGCATCATTTACAATTTAAAATCTGCAACAGAGTGTGAAAATGTTAAAACACCCCAGCAATATTTAAAAAAACTTTACAACCCTAGTGAAAAATAAATAAACTTAAATGTATTTGAAATTCATTTATTTCATGTTAAGTATACTACAAATACATTTTTATATTTATGTACTTAATAAAA